GAAAATTCCTTGAATCAAACGAGAATGAAAACAACATACCAAAATCTTTGGGACACAGCAAAAGCAGTGATCAGAGGTCAATTTATAGCAATAAGTGCACACATCAAAAAAGAAGAAAGAGCCAAAATCAACACTTCAAATGAACATCTCCAACAATTAAAGAAGGAACAGCAAGAAAAGCCTACAGTCACCAAAAGGAAGGAAATAATCAAGATTCGCGCAGAAATCAATGAAACAGAAAATAGAAGGGCTAGACTAGCGGTGCTCAGTCTTCAGCGGGCATCAGCATCAGTTCACTGCTTGTTTTATGAGACTGCTGGGCCCGCCCCTAAGCTTCTGATTCAGTGGGTGGGGGGAGAGGCTGGGGGCCGTAAACGTACATTTCTACCAAGGTCCTAGGCAATGCTGATGCTGCTGGTTGGGGGTCCACAGTGCCTGACATACAGCAACCAGACCCTGACAGCAGAGTTTAAAAAAATAAGCAACACAGCTCTGTGGAGTCGATCTTGCCTCACAGCGACTCTCTGTATGTCAGGACAGAGCTGTGCTCCAACGGGTTTTCAGCTGCTGACTTTTCAGAAGTAGATTGCCAGCCCCTTCTTCCAAGGCACCCAAGTGGACTCAAACCTCTAACCTTTCAGTTAGCAGCAAGCACACTAACCATCTGCACCACTAGGGGCTCTGGGCCACGAGACAGGAGTCGTTTGTTTTCTGTAGAATAACAAGCCCCATGTCTGAACCACATCAGGATGGTGGTGATGGTTTTCTTTCATTTTCTACTTCAATATTGATTGTCCCATCTCCTGCTTGTGGCAGCTGCATCACAGTGCCCTGGACCACTCCTGAGGACCACTGCCTCACCGCCAGGCCTGCAAGAATCACTGGTGGCAAGGATGCAATGCACCCCCATCTGTGGTGGTTAAGTTTGTATGTCAACTTGGCTGAGCCTGGCTGGATGGCTGGCCAGCTGGTGGTAGTTATTCCCCATGATGAGACTGGCAATCAACTCTATGGTGGGACCTACCACAAGCAGCTAAGTAGCTGCTTTAGGGATGTGGTCTGCTTCCCATATATAAGAAACAGCTTTGGGAATGGTCTCTAGCTTATGGCATACCTGAACCACACATGTAGTTGTGTTGTTGTTCAGGAACCTGCCTCTGCCAACCTTGAGACTTTCAATGGACTTGAATTAATGGCCTACCAGATGGTTTGGTAATATTGAGACTGTGCCTTTTTACTTGTTGACCTTGGGCTTGTCAGCCTCAGCAGCCAGCAGCTGTCTAAGTGAAGAAAAGCCTCCGGCTTCAGTGGGCCAGGAGCATGAGGCAGAGCTAAAGCCCAAGGTTGAAGAGCTTTCATCCACACCCCAGAGCCTAGCACTTGGAACTTAGACTTCCAGCCTCCAAACTGATACATTCTTGTCAGAGCAGTACTAGGTAACCAAAACACCATCCTTGCTGTAAATAGGAACATCATCACAGAACTCACCAAAAAGGTCTTCCCGATGCCCGAGACCACGTAACCCAGAGACATGTTGAGTGGGTTAAGGTTGAACACAAACCCACTGTTAGGGTCCTTTACGGAGCAGGCCTGCAGGAACAACGGGGAACAAAGAAGAGTCACACCAATATCACAAGAACACGATCAACGTACAGCACCTCCCAAAACATGTCTGTGTGTCACAAATCCGCATGCAGTTTATCTGAAAACATCGTATATCTTAGAAAGGTCTCTCAAGAGTGTTCACATGTGCTGGTGAGGATGCGGAGAGATTGGGACTCTTTTACACTGCTGGTGGGACTATAAAATGGTATAATCACTGTGGAAAGCAGTATAGCAATTCCTTCAAAAGTTGAAATTAGAAATACCATTTGACCCAGCCATTCCATTACTAGGTATGCATCTTAAAGAGTGAGAGCCATGACAAGAACAGACATATGCACACCCATGTTCATCGTAGCACTATTTACAATAGCCAAAAGATGGAAACAACCTAGGGGTCCATCAACTGAGGAATGGATAACCAAACTTATGGTGCATACACACAATGGAATATTATCCAACCCTAAAGAATAACCTAGAATCTGCAAAACACCGCATAACGTGGATGAACTTGGAGGACATTATGCTGAGTCAATCACAGAAGGACAAATATTGTATTATCTGTTATTGTAAAAAGTCAAGGAAAGGTTTATATATGGAAGGAAATTTTCTTTGTTGGTTACCAGGGATGGGAGGGGAGGGGAAGAAACACTGTTAGATAGGTAGAGATAAGTATTGATTTGGATGAAGAGAAGGGCAATGTACCAAATGTGAATGATCAGCACAGTGGCACTGAGGAAAAGGAAGACATAGAGAGGTACATGGGAGGTGTAGACAACAAAGATGAACCCTTTTGTACATAAAGTACTGCGTTGTCAGTAAAGGCAAACATGGATATATAGGTAGATAGATGGGTGGACAGGCTGAACTATTAGGTATGTCTATGAAGTGGGGAGTGTACCCAAGACCATGTATGGGGTTGGTAGACAATGGTTCTACAAGTGTATTTGTATATTCTGTAAGAATTCCCAGGTGTATAGTAGAGCTGACAAGGGACAAGGTTTTAGTCACTTCTTGGCCATAGCCAGCTACCCAGAGGGAGTGAGTAGTTGAACCTGTGGGCTCGGGACCATAGTCACAGGGGACATCAAGCTCAACTGACATAACATACTACTCAAAACATTGTTCCTCATCCTACTTCGGCGAGTAGCAACTGGGATCTTAAAAGCTTGCCATCCAGACCCAATGACAGGTCTCTCCTCGTCCAGAGCAAAGAATAATGAAGAAAACCAAAGATTCATGGAAACAATTAGTCCAAGTGACTGGTACACCATGTGATCCTCAGCCTATACAACTATGAGACCAGAAGAACTAGATGGTGCCCAGCTACCACTGTCAACCACTCAGAGAGGGATCTATGGAGGAGATCCTGGATAGAGAGGGAGAACAATAGGGAACAAAACTCAAAATTATCTGGAGGGGGGAAGGGACCAAGTTTGCTGGACTGATAGAGCCTGGTGAACCTCTGACACTATGGCCCCTAGCTGCCCTTCAGGTCTAGAATTGAACCCAAACCTGTGGCTTCCAGCCAAACAAAAGACAAGACATATGAAGTGAACATTTACCTGAGGTAGATACACTCCTTGGAGAGAACAATCATGGGAGAAAGAAGGGCTGCTTATGCACAGGGAGACAGCTCAGAGGGCAGGAGTGTATGGAGGGATGGACACAGGGAAGAGGCAACTATCGGAAGGAAGTGGGAGGGGAGCTGTTGCATTGGGGTAAATTGTAGTCAATGTCATGAGACAAAGTGTATGTGACCTGCTGTATGCAAAGTGAATTTGCTCTGTAAATTTTCACCCAAATCACAGTTTTAAAAAAATTAAAAAAAAAAAAAAAAACGCGTTCACGTGTTTCTGGCAAAACAAAAGAATTGAGAAACATCGTGACCAAGACTCTGTTTTGGGATCTGTTGACTAAGAACACCCGTCGATGAGTTCCTTCCTAAGTCTCCAAGTGGCCCGGAGTGCTCCAAACAGCCCCTCTGACCAGCCCCTGAAATATCCCCAAAGGATATGCTGGCCCAGATACACTGAACATCCCAGAAAGTGACCACACTCCCCCAGCAGAGAGAGATGATGGGGTGGGGGTTCTGAACAGCCAGATTCAGAACAGTCAACAGCGTAAGCCAGAACTTGACATGATCCAAAGAATCCTATCAGAAAGATCTATCGATAAGAAGCCTGATTGCAGAAAAACAAAACCATAAGAAACCTCACACTTGGTTGTGTCTCAATCCTCCCTTCAGGGCGATGACGGGACCTGTCGTGAACTGACTTGTCTCCTCTTGTAGAACACACACCTGACCTTGCCCGTGGGGCTCCCCAGTCTTTTTTCTGCCCATCCACTACACGCAGGTGGGGAGCAGCACCCACAGCCCCAGGAGGCACTGCTGTGGGTGACGAGCCCGGCGTCCTGCACCACTCCCTGACCCAGGGCCCAGGAGCACAGGACATCGTCATGGAACGCTTTTCCAGGTAAGCCACATCCCCACTGCAGTCTGAAGCATGGTGGAGGTTTATGGGAGGGAGGGGTGACCAAGCCCCATCGTAAAGAAACATACACAGGGCTTGTCAACAGCCAGCTCCTCTTGGGTGGGTGGTCAGGGAACCTCCAAGGAACTGCCACACCGCCCTTCACTGTCATCAAAGGTTAGCCACAGCAAGAGTTTCTCTCTCTTTAAGCTGGAAAGAGCTCATTCCAGGGCCAGATGTACTCAGCAAGCCCAGGGAAGGGCAGGGAGCTTCACGAGGCTGGAGGAGAAGGGGTTCCAGAGGCCTGGCTGGAGCCAGGCCATCAGGAGCCTTGAACATGACATTAAAGCAGGGCTTACCCCATGGACCCAGAGCACTGACACGCACTGGGTGGTAAGTGACGGATGAGCCCATCAGACCTGTCAGGGATAGAGGACCTCGGAACACAATGTGGTGGAGACGGAAGGCAGCTCCCCAGAGGACACAAGGGTACACTGAGGGTGTGAAGGGAGGTGGTGGAGAGCTAGGGATGGGCAGGATGACCTCCAGACCCCGGTATCCACACAGAGGGGATGCTGACTCAGTGACTAACTGGGGAACGCAGGTGGAAAGTTGAGAACTAGGGCCCCTGGAGGTCAGGGCGGCCACGCTCAGCGAGGGGTCAGCCTCAGAACACATACCTGGTCTGTGTCTGTGGCTGTCTGCACAGGGCAGGCAGCCTCCGTGTTCCACAGGAAAGTGACCACACACTCCCAACTGAGAGAATATATGGGATGGGTATTCTGGAAGGTAACACAAGACCATAGTCAACGAAATGAAATGGAACTTGACGTCAGCAGCAGAACACTAACTGGACCCCTGAGAACAGCTTAGACGTTCAAACATTTAATACGTGTCAAGTCGACAGGCAGGTGCTGCACATGAGTTACTGAATGCTAATATGATGGCCTCATCCCTGTGAAGGAGGTATTATTATCTCTCATACTCAGATGTTCAGAAATTTACCTGCAACCATGCCAACAGAAAACAGGAGAACTGGCACCCAAACCCTAGTCTGATTACTATTCCACTCTCTCAGGAAACGCTTGGTACCAAGGGCTGAATGAACACAAGAGCCACAGCGGAGTATGTGTAACTTCCTCCCTGTGAGCTCAAGAAGGGGCAAAATGAACGTACATGTGAGAGGCCAGCATGACGGCCGTCCTTGGACAGAGGCTGAGAAGTAACCACAGAAGGGGCTCGTGAGGGCTTTTGGGGACTGCTAACTTTATTTCAGGTGATAACCAAATCAAAAACAAAACCCATTCTGAGAAGTCAATCCCGACTCATGGTGACCCCATGTGTCACAGAGGACTGTTCCGTATGGGAGTCTCGTCTGGAATGTTTATGGATTACGACAGATTACAGCCTAAGAAACCCATAGGGCAGTTCTCCTCTGCCAGGTGGACTATCATGAGTCAGCATCCACCCAGTATCACCCAAGAACACAACAACGATCTTTATGGAGGTAGATTGCCAAGTCTTTCTTCTGTGGAATCAACAGGTGGGTCCAAACTACCAACCAAGATGCAGCAGTCTGCTTCCATAAAGACTGCAGCCTTGGAAACCCCATAGGGCAGTTCTTTTCTGTCCCACAGGGCCACTAGGAGTCCGAATTGACTTGATGGCAGTGGGTTTGGCTTTTTGGTTTGGTTTATTAACACACAGGAGCCTGGTGGTGCCGCAGTGAAACACGTGGCTGCCAACTGAAAGGTGTGCACCAGCTGCTCTGTGGGAGAAAGATGTGGCAGGCCACTTCCAGGAAGGGATTCAGAGCCTCAGAAGCCTACCGGGCAGTTCTGCTCTGTCCTACAGAGTCGCTGTGACTCGGAACGTACTCAATGACAACGGGGCATCTGGTAA